TACTATATAAACTGCTTAGGGTAGCAGGATCTTCAAAATGTCTCTATTTTGCTTTTGGGAATTATTTTTATGACACTCAAATCCTTACAAATTATATGTATTTGCTGATCAAAAAAACAGTGGTGTCATTACATGTATGACATAATGAATATGTAGCTAGCACAGATGAAGAATATCTCTCTCTCGCTGTCTCTCTCGCTATATATAATGTATTTATTATTCATTTGTTTGGTGTTTATGAACAGCTGTTTTTGTCATGTGACTATCTTTATTTATCCAGGTAAAAAAATCTCATTGAGACGAGAGACCTGGCATCATGGGAACAAAAGTCAAAATACACATACCACATAAGTATATAACATTTAAAACAAATACAATATCCCATACCAACATGTGTAAAATATACAATAACAGAAATATACATCTACAGTGATATAATGAAGATGAAAAGAATAACTTAATAAATTATAATGAATCTGTGTTTTTGTACATAAGCAGAGCAAACAAGTGCTGCAGACTAATGATACTAAAAGTCAAAATGCCAACAATGTAAATAATTTTCAGTATGAAAAATCATCCGTGGTGATTTGAGCTAATGTCAACATGCTCACAGTGACAATACAACCATGCCGATGCTAAACAGCTGGGAAGTATAGCACATTTGCTTGCACCAAGCACAAAGTGTAGCTGAGGCTGACAGGGATTGCGCTGTCTAAGAGATAAGACTGACTTAAAGTTAGAGTGGCTAAGGAGTCCTGCATGTGTTGCACTAAAGGTCTCAAGGCTTAAGCTTTCTCATAAGTTAAAACAAAATTAGCCAAGTAGCAACCTAACGTGATCAGATACTGGGCAGGACCTAAGACAACTTGGAAGAGCAGAACTCATTCATTTATAACGACTGAAGTCATTCTGCTGTATAAACAAGGTTTTAAACTAAGATTCTATCTGCAAAGTCTGAACATGGCCCTGACAGGTGATGCATTGACTGTGGCCACTGAACAGCTATAACGCAAGGGTGATTACACACCTTCCAACCAATCCAAACCCATCACAGGTCACTTGGTGTGACAGCCCTTCTCTCAGTTTACCTGCACATGCTGACCCAACGATAACAAATGCACAGTGTGCGCTGTGGTAAAATGGATAACAACAATCAATATCAACCACTGAAATCATTGGCACGGTTGCTTCTGCAGAAAAGAAGGTGTCGACCGTTCTCTGCCTCGTCTGTCTTTTGGCAGGAGCAAAGCATGGGATCAATATGCTACAGGCAGCTCGCTGGTGGCCCGGCAGGGATGAGAAAGCAGACGGGGGGAGAAATAGGAAGGAAAAGATGGGATGATGACATGGCTTTGCAAGGCTCTAGGGGGGTCAAAACACAAAGCGTGGTGCAGAAACAGGTGATAGGGATGCATCCAGAGGCGATAAGGAAGGAAAAGTTGTGTGTGTAACGCAGGAGTCAGTAGTTTAGCAAACACATAAATGCAGCATGGACACAGGACAGCCTGACAGCTTGTCGATTCAGTGAATTTATAATGAATGTTCTTTTATGCTCCACTTTCTCTCTAACCTTTCTCCTCTCCTTTGCTCCCTTTATCTCACCTCCCCTCCTCTCTTCATTTAGAGCATCAACACCTCTCACCCACCCCACCCTGTCACAGGCTCATGTAGCCTATCATCCCGAGAGTAAGAACAAAGAGTTATACGAAAGGTGCTTAGTCGCATTTCTTTCTACCCCTGCTGTTGTGGTGTCCTAATGATGCAAATGTTAGGCCAGCTAATGAGCAGGAGCTATGTTTGGGCTGAAGCTCACCTTGCCGCCTCATGAATAAAAGCACCGTGTCAGAGTCAAGATGTGTGTTTCTCTCAGCTCTCAAACAGCGACCATTACAGATGGTGCTTTCTCACATTACATCCATGAAAAGAAGACAACTGTTGTTCCATAACAGTGTCCAAAGAATAAGCTAGGCCTTTGAAATGAAAATTTATTTAAACTATTAAAATGTAAGCAAGCTGTCCTGTCTAAAAAACCACGCACACAGAAGCAAGAAAAAGTATAGAAAACTTCAGCTGGAACTCTGAGCAGCCTCTCACCTGTGCAAGTCACATAACCTTTTGACTCAGAGTTCATTCTGGCTGTCACCGACGCACGCCTCTAAAGGGGAGTGAAACCAATAGATGTTAGCTCTGTGTTATTGCAATAAACCTCATGGCTGCTTGCATTTCTCTCCCTCCCCACCTCGTGGCTTAATCCTCCGTACTTTTGCCCTTCAGTTTTTAAAGACAGCCTGCGGGCTAGAAGTGCCCTTTGCTGACTTGTGGCTGACAGTGAATAAGTTCCCCTCTCGTCTCCTCCCTTTTATCTCTGAGATCATACTCTGAGTGGGTCAAGATCAATGGTGCTCCCTGCAAATCTGCCCAGACTCTGGGTGATTCTCATTGACCTTACACGGGGGTAACTGAGCGCTCCTACTCTCATCCTGCCGCTGGTTTTTGCATCCACTTCTATGGAGAAATTCCCCTCCTGCTCGCACTGTTTTTATCAAGAAACATGGAGCATACTGGCGCAGGCCGTTGCTAAGTTCTTGTCTGCCTCAAACTGAAATGTATCTGGTTGGAGATTTGCGGTCCTAAAACCAACCACGTTTCTAATGCTACAGAAGGGAAAACTGTGGTTGGAGACTCAGGCAGAACTGAGATTAGGTTCTGTCTGAGGTGAGGGACAACCAACTTTTGTTGTCCCTCACCTCAGTCCCTCAGGTTAGGCTGTGAGGTGAAAATCCCCAAAATACAGGATATCATTTGCATCTTAATTGGGGAAATGAAATCCAGAATTTAAAAAACAAAAAAAACTTACACGTTCATCATGTTTTTTAAAGTGTTCCATCAAGACAACATAAGCACAAGTAGGGCTGTTCGATATAACGATATATATGGGATGACGATATAAAAACGTCTATCGTTTCATTTTACGCAATCGTTTGTTTCGTGGTGTCGCAAAATAAACCGTTTACGGCAATATTTTTTCATCGTTTTGATGGTCACTGTAGTGGCTATATTAATTTCTTAAAGTTCTCTCTTTCTCTTATATGTAATATAACCACACTACCCACGGACAAGCGCCTGTTTTTATGCGTTGTGGTTAGCAACAACGACGGTAACAGCATCGCGTGTCCGCTTGTTTATGTTCCACATATCCTTTCACAATAAAGCTCAATTTTGCTCAATTATTTTGAGACTTTTCAAAATAAACTGAATCACGTGAAAGAGCAGATTATTTACGGATGAGAAGTAGAAAAGAGCCATCAGGTGCTAAAAAATAAACCTTAGACTCAAACGTTAGAACAGGCTTTTCCCCGCAGCACGCCGTGTAATAAATACTCACAAAGAAAACGGCGGCCGTTACAACTTATGTCTAAAAATGTATCGTTTCATGCATCAGTTAAAACACTCGACTCCAGCTACATGACGCACAGCTGGAAACACTTCACGCAAGTCGAGCTGCCCGAGATTCACAGAATTTACAGAAAATGTTACATTTTTGTGATTTATATCGTTATCAGGACGATAGAATTCTTATATCGGGATATGAGATTTTGGTCATATCGCACAGCCCTAAGCACAAGAAGGAGAGAGTAAGTGGTGCGACTGCCATCCTCAGGCCCATGGATGAAGAGAACAAGTCCATCCAGATCCAGCTGGGGCTCTCATCCAATGGGATCCCAGTGAGACCACCTTCAACAAGATGGATGGCGCACGCCGAGCTTCAAACTGGGCGCACCCAGCCCAGACATCATTGGGTCCGGGCTGAATAAAGAGGTGGTGGCCCCTCGCCTGCTCTTCCCTAATAGGAGGCGCTGCCTGGCTGACAGCAGCCCATAAATAACCCAGTCGACGTGTCACTGGAAAAGAACACACTCACCTGAGCGTACTCACTCACTCACGGGCACCACAAGGGAGAAGCAGGGTGCAATAATACAAGGCCATACAGACACAGAATGACAACACGAATGTGTGAAGATAGGGAGCAAATTATTTGCTCCCTAGCACATATTATGTGGTCTGATTAAAAAGATCAAACAGGATTTGTGCCACACTTTCAAACCACATTAGGGTGGCTTAAATTAGCCACCAGTTCATCTGTGTTTTTGTCAGGTCACCACACCATAATGACTGAGCAGAGTTCTGGGGAGCTGAGGACAGAGCAATTTCTATTTTTATTTACTTCTTATGGGAAAAAGCAAACCTGCAATCATCCACTTAGGCTGTAGATGATGACTATTTGTCAGGTGTTCATTTCATCTGAGCTAAAAGTCCAAATCGTCACATTTTACAGCTTTCAGACAATCGCACATGGTCACCCAGCTGTAACCACGTTTCTTTTAAAGCCTCGAAATTTTTCACTGCAGTCATTTTAATATAAATTCGTACATGTGTTATTAATCACACTAATTACAACAGAACCTTAATTAATGTGATTAGCAGCACCGTAGTCTACCTACTATTACCTCTCAAAATGGCCATCATACGAGGACAGCTGTTGCGTTTGCGCTTTTCCCCCCTCCAAACGCGCCAAGCTGTTTGTCAGAGTTGTCTGACATTTTCAGAGTATGTTTTTGTTTCAATTAGTCTTTAATTGTTTTAATATTTCGATATTTTTTCAATTAAGCAGGCAATAACGGCCAGCAGGAGCCAATCTGCTAGCCAGAACATAGAAAAGAAAAAGTGGGGATTTTTTTTATAATTTGAAGTAATTTTACAGCATCCCTCAAACACCTCAGAGCCTCAAACACGTGGAGGACTTACCTCATCAAATGACACCACAGGCAAAGTATTAAAAGGCACATACTATACTGTTATAGAGTATGTTACAGTCAGAGAGTCTGATTTATTGCTTTATTTCCCTCTCGTTCAGACACTCTCCGAAAAACAAACACGCACGTGAAGTTTCGGCTCAAGCCGTCGACGTCATATGCGTCGTGACGCAATGCGGAAGTAATTTAACCAAGATGGCTGCGTCCTTCACAGGCATGATTTGGTTTCACTGAAGTGTCAGATAATGTGTAGCAGTTGCATTTTTAAGAGCTAAAAGACCACAAGGGCAGCTTTGAGAGCGGAAACATGGAGAGGCGAGAGTTCATGGCGTCTCTAGTGGTAAGATATTTTTATTTACACAGAGTCGTACTTTAAATACAGACAAATATAAGCTGTGAACCACCCTCTCATATATCTGGATTAAAAAACGCCACTTTGCCGGTTCCTTGTTGTTCAGACAGTATAATGAAATCTGTTTGAACAGGTAAAAGTCCATGACGCTTTATATTTAGCTCGAGAAAATAAAAGAACGGCACTGAAATGAATATAAGTAAATGTTATTATAATGTAAATATAAATATATAAATATAAATTGATAAACTTCAGTTAATCTTCTAGCCAGTCGGTTTTCGGTTGGAGTTTTGTGGAGACTTGAACCGACCTTGAAGAGTCGATTTTAAATGCTCTTACAGACACAAGCAACATTTTCTCAGCTCTCCTTGTTTTGCAGTCAAATATTTGCTAGACATTAACGTGACAATATAGCAGTGTTTTATGTTTCCGAAGTGGACAGTGAGTGAGTGTTGCAGCATTACTGTACATCTCACAATGTGACTGTCACCGCAGGCAGGTGGCTGTGCGGGGATGTGTGTGGATCTGACCCTGTTTCCACTCGACACAATAAAGACCAGACTTCAGAGTCAGCAGGGTTTTTACAAGGCTGGAGGCTTTAGGGGCATCTACGCTGGAGTCCCATCTGCTGCTGTCGGCTCCTTCCCCAATGGTATGATATTAAATTGTGACAGCTGGATATGTATTCCCTCTGAACTATTGTTTGCATTATTTCTGTTCTTGTGTTATTCTTTCAGTGTCTCACTGTGTATCTGTAAACATAAGTCACGGTGTAAATAATAATAATATTTACACCGTGACTTATTCAGCTCATTCATCTTGAAGAAGATATAAAATTATATCTCATCTTAAAAAAAATCTACCTTAATCTCACCTGATTCTGTGTCCATATATATGGAGGGCTTACTGAGTAATGCAACCAGAAATGACAGCAACATATATAAAATTTTTTTTAAAAAAAAAAACAACAACAACAAAAAGAAAAACTTCCAAACTGCAGTCATAGCTTATGTCTTGGTCATGAGTTGTTTTGGAACATATCTTTTCCTACACTTCCTACACCTGTCAGCATTTAACAGAACTTACCTGTTTGGTAGTATAA